GTGGCTTAGCGTGGGGGGCGTGGCCACGGTATTGAAGGAATGGAGGGAGGGCTGGAGGGGGGCGGAGCCAAACCCTCGACACGGACCAATGGGAACGGGGTGTGCAAAAGAGGGCGGGGCCAAAAGGGGCGGGGTCAGCAAAAGAGGGCGGAGCCAGCAGAAGGGGGCGGGGTCACCCTCCCCAAAATTTGGGGTGAAACGAAGGGGTTTGGGCTCACCCACGAACGACCAATCAGGGAGGTCTCGGAGGGGTCCGTAGCCCGAACTTCCGGGTGCCAATCCCTGGCTGAGGGTAATTAGTTATGCAAATGAGGCCACGCCCAGTTCATCCAGCCCCGCCCACTCTCCCCTCTTCGACCCCCCCCCCCTCACCTGACCCGCCATTGGCCGATGCGCTGCGGGGCTGCTGGGATGGGGCGGGCATTGAGAGCGCGGCGCTCCGCTGGGGGGAGACAGACAGACGTGTGGGGGGACAGAGGGACCCACAGGGACCCATAGAGCCCCATAGGGACCCATAGAGCCCCACAGAGACCCATAGGGACACACAGGGACCCATAGAGCCCCATAGGGACCCATAGAGACCCATAGGGAACCATAGATCCCATAAAAACCTCATAGCGACCCATTGGGACACACAGGGACCCCATAGAGACCCATAGAGCCCCACAGAGACCCATAGGGACACATAGGGACCCATAGGGACCCACAGAGACCCACAGAGACCCATAGAGACCCACAGGGACCCCATAGAGGCTCATAGGGACCCACAGGGACCCACAGAGCCTCATAGGGACCCACAGGGACCCATAAGGACACATAGGGACACACAGGGACCCCATAGAGACCCATAGGGACCCATAGGGACCCACAGGGACCCACAGGGACCCATAGGGACCCATAGGGACCCAAAGGGACCCATAGGGACACATAGGGACCCACAGGGACACACAGGGACCCACAGGGACCCCATAGAGATCCACAGGGACCCATAGAGACCCACAGGGACCCATAGGGAACCATAAGGACACATAGGGACACACAGAGACCCCATAGAGCCCTATAGGGACACATAGGGACCCACAGGGACCCACAAGGACCCACAGAGCCCCACAGGGACCCATAGGGACCCATTGGGACCCCATAGAGACCCATAGGGACCCACAGGGACCCATAGGGACCCATGGAGACCCACAGGGACCCCATAGAGGCCCATAGGAACCCACAGGGACCCATAAGGACACATACGGACCCATAGGGACCCACAGAGACCCCATAGAGGCCCATAGGGACCCACAGGGACCCCATAGAAATCCATAGGGACCCACAGAGACCCACAGGGACCCATAGGGACACATAGGGACCCACAGGGACCCATAAGGACACATAGGGACACACAGGGACCCCATAGAGACCCATAGGGACACACAGGGACCCATAAGGACACATACGGACCCATAGGGACCCACAGAGACCCCGTAGAGGCCCATAGGGACCCACAGGGACCCACAGGGACCCCACAGAGCCCCACAGGGACACACAGAGATCCATACGGACACATAGGGACCCCACAGGGACACATAGGGACCCACAGAGGTCCATAGGGACCCATAGAGACCCACAGGAACCACATAGGGACCCATAGATCCCATAGGGACCCATAGGAACCCACAGAGACCCACAGAGTCCCCTTAGAGATCCACAGAGACCCATAGGGACGCCATAGGGACCCACAAACCCCCACAAAAACCCCATAGAGACCCCCAGAATCCCACAGAGACCCCACAGAAGCCCTCAGACCCCCCACGGCCGCCCCACGGTGCCCCCAATCCCACCCAAAACGCCCCACGCCGCCGTTACCGATCCGCAGCATTCTGCGCGCCGCCATTACGCCCCCACCGGAACTTCCGGACGCGGTCGCCACGTGACTTCCGCTTAATTTGTACGGCACTTCCGGCGCCCGCGGCGCCTTCTTGTGTTTGGCGAGCGGAAGTAGATGCGAAGATACCGGATGTGGCAACAGGACGCCGCAACGTCTTCATGCTGGAGTTTCATTCGGGCGCCGCCATTTTGCCGTACGGAAACCGGAAGTAGCGCGTTGGTGGGACCAGAAGGAGACGTTCTATGGACACCGGTTCCATACTTTGGGGAGCCCGACCTACCATAGAGGATCGCCAACCCTTGGAGGACCCCAACCTCACCATGGAGGACCTTCAACCCACCATGGAGGACCCCCAACCCACCATGGAGGACCTCCAACCCACCATGGAGGACCTCCAACCCTCGGAGGACCTCCAACCCTCGGAGGACCTCCAACCCACTGTGGAGGACCCCAACCCCACCATGGAGGACCCCAACCCTTGGAGGACCTCCAACCCACCATGGAGGACCTCCAACCCTCGGAGGACCTCCAACCCACTATGGAGGACCTCCAACTCTTGGAGGACCTCCAACCCACTGTGGAGGACCTCCAACCCACCGTGGAGGACCTCCAACCCACCGTGGAGGACCTCCAACTCTTGGAGGACCTCCAACCCACCGTGGAGGACCTCCAACCCACCGTGGAGGACCTCCAACCCACCATGGAGGACCCCCAACCCTTGGAGGACCTCCAACCTACCATGGAGGACCCCAACCCCACCATGGAGGACCCCCAACCCTTGGAGGACCTTCAACTCACCACGGAGGACTTGCAACCCTTGGATGATCCGCAACCCCACCATGGAGGACCTCCAACCCTTGGAGGACCTCCAACCCAGCGTGGAGGACCCCAACCTACCATGGAGGACCTGAACCCACCGTGGAGGACCTCCAACCCTTGGAGGACCTCCAACCCACCGTGGAGGACCTCCAACTCTTGGAGGACCTTCAACTCACCACGGAGGACTTGCTACCCTTGGAGGATCCGCAACCCCACCATGGAGGACCCCCAACCCTTGGAGGACCCAAACCCAGCGTGGAGGACCCCCGACTCTTGGAGGACCTCCAACCCACCAATGGAAGACCCCCAGCCCACAAACAGAACACCACAAGGCCGCCATCTTGTCCCTCCGCCATGTTTGACGCTCCAACCCACACACAGAACACCACAAGGCCGCCATCTTGTCCCTCCGCCATGTTTGACACCCCAACCCACACACAGAAGACCAGGAGGCCGCCATCTTGTCCCTCCGCCATGTTTGACACCCCAACCCACCAATGGAAGACCAGAAGGCCGCCATCTTGTCACTCCACCATGTTTGACACCCGAACCCACAAACAGAAGACCAGCAGTCCGCCATCTTGTCCCACCACCATATTTGACACCCCAACCCACAAACAGAAGACCAGGAGTCCGCCATCTTGTCCCACCACCATATTTGACACCCCAACCCACCAA